TGCCGCATTAGTCCTGGAGTTGCGAGATCCAAAGGAGTTTTCTTTTGTTTATTCGTTAATGAAATATTAGCACCATTTGCTACTAACAGCTTTGCTACATCAATGCGATCTTCCTCACATGCCAAATGTAATGCACTATTGCCATCAGCATCTTGACTATCTGGAAATAATTAAAAATTTTATTAAATAAAATATTCATTAAGAAATTGTCGCTTACAACAATGTCGTAAGAATAATCTGCAAAATTATTAACAAATTAAAGCACTATTTTAATTACTTCTTTTTTGTTTTTAGGATATTTACATAAAATGTGTTAGAAAAATAACTATCTCTTATTCTGCAGTTAAAAGGAAAAGTTTAATAAAATATCTACCTATGATTAATTTTCCAGAACCTATGAGCAATTTTACAATAACTATATTGCCTTTCGATGCAGCTCTATGCAGTGGTGTAGCACTACGATAATCTGCGATGTTAATATCGGCACCTTTTTCTAACAGTGCAACGCAAATGGATTTCCAGTTTTTTGATGCCGCATATTGTAACGCCGAATGACCCTCTCGTGTTTTAGCATTAACATTTGCACCCTCAGTAAGTAGTGTCTTGACAACATCTTCACGAGCTGCTGATGCTGCCAAAATTAACGGTGTCATATCCATCTAAATGTAAAATTAAATATTATGAAAAACATCCTTTTACTCCATACATAAGATATCACAAAGAAAATTAAAATACATTAAGGTATGTCTTATGGGATAGTTATTTATATAAATAATTCGTGTTTATAAAAAGTTACTTCTACAAAATTGATCAATTTGAATATTTAAACTTTAAATTAACATATTTCATAAATTATTTGTTGAATTTACTGTAACTCTGAAATTTCTCTAAAATCGTTTAAAAGAAATGTCAATGTAAATAAAAAACAAAATATGCTATTTAAAGACTGAAAAAAATATTTTGATTGCTACTATTTGTCAAACTGTTTTACATATAAACGAAATGTCATGACTTTTGTCATCATGAAAGCTACATAGAAGTGGCATTGTCATGACTTTTATGTTTTTAACCGCCATTGCTTGACGCACTACGTCTATCTCGAGAAAACCTATTGCCAAAAAAGCAAGATAAAAGAGGTATATTTTTATGAAATATAAAATGAAGAGAGCACATTACCACCATGAGTCATGACCCATGACGTTGACCTGTGAACCAATACATATGTACTTACAGGTCACGATTGATACGGTTTGTCAGTGTGAAAAAGTAACAGGGAAAAGAAATCTACGTAACCGGCAAATACATTTGGTCCAAACTTAGTGATTTACTTTACTTACATCGTCAGTAGGGTCCTCTGGTACACCCAGAGATAATAAAAATTTTACTAAATCATCATGTCCTCCAAGTGCTGCCCAATGTATTAGCATTCGTTCATTCTGCGAAAATAAATTTGAATGATAATATAACCTCAAAAAATATTTTACCCAAAATAACGCACTGACATTGTCCTTAGCTGTTTTTAATTGTTCATTGGTCTTTAATAAATTTATAATCTCTCCGGTTTTACCACGATAAGCCTTGTCATAAATTGATTCTCCAGACATTTTTCTTGTTTCTATTGATTCAGACATAGTAAATCAACATTGATTACAATGCAATGCCAATGCTGAAACGCCACCTAAGCTTAAAAATTATAATCTAAAACAAAAACGAATGTGTAATTTACTGTATGCATAGGTAAGCTTATTTCATTCATATTAGTCATAGTGAAATGGTATGAAAATTATATGTAAGAGGGTGAGTCAAAAATTATTCGCACTCCAGTTATATTAAAACTTCTGTTGGCCGTACTGTCCCATCTGCACTTTTCGCATGATGTCACTATCTCTCCAGTCACTGCTGTGCAGGTTTGAACGTATTACGTCAATTAATTTTTTTCTTTTTAGGTGCTGGAACATCCTCCCTATAGTCCTGATTTCGCCCCATCAGACTATCAGCTGTTTGGTCCTCTAAAAGGAGCTCTAGGCGGACGAAGATTCACGTCTGATGAAGACGTGAGCTCACGCACCTCAGCCGAAAACATTTTTTAATGAGGGAATACGAAAGCTCCTTAGCAGATAGACAAAGTGTATTAAAAAGCTGGGCGATTATGTCGAAAAATGATGTATTTGTCTTTTCTGAAAGTTGCTTAAAATAAATTCTACAGCAACAGTGCGGATAATTTTTGACTCACCCTCGTATTTTCTTATTTATTTGAATATATTTAACATTTTCTTTCACAATCCACTTACT